GAATCCAGGGGAAAATGAACAATTATTAAATGGGAAATGCAGACATGACTGATGGGAATTGAGAAGGAAATTTAGAGAGGAAATACTGTAGTTGAAAGTCCGTAATGGAGTAAATGGTGAGACGGTGGAAATATTACACATATAGTTGTTTATGCGTGTATGCGTACATACAGTTTACACACCCCACCCAATCAGCACCATTGATTGGATCTCCTATACGTAGTACATATTCATCTACTCCATATTGCTGCTACTATTCCCCAGCTTCAGTCCACTTAAAACTTTTTCTGACTCATTTATTCTTGTTAAGACCTGAATTGGCCACTGAGGGATCTAGGCCATACCTTCCAAAATAGACATACAGTAAATTAGGAGAATGTCTGAACATTTCAGGTATGAAACTCCGGAACAGCGAGAGAAGCGAGACAAGATTGGGATATTCTGAGTGTTCTAATTTTCCCATCTGCTATTCTACCTCTACTCCTATTCACTTGAAGCTAATACCGCAAGTCAAACTCTGAAACGTTTATACAGAGAAAAGTCAAACAGTTCGCAACCTAAATTAGATTCTCTAAGATTTAATACAAGTTCCAGGAGAACAAGATGATAGAATAAGTCCCAGAAACTGCCGACTAACAATAGCTAATTCATGTACCGGATGGGCTCTTATATATGAGTACAATCCAGACTATCCAGAGGTCAGAAACATCTATTTCTCTGCATTCTTCACTAGGCTGGCTGCAGACAACCCTGTTCTGGAGACTGGAATGTTGTTCATTTTCTATAAGATCAAGCACGCTTTGGTGTCTCACCCTGATCAGATGCAGCCCTGAGTATAATGATTCTTATGTCAGTAACAGAGTAGCCATTTCTGACACCTTTGATCGCTCATCTTCACCATGTGTGTCTCTTGCACATCACAGAAATCTAGCCACGCCCCCACACTGCCTATTTGGAGCCTTTCAATCACCTCCTTACCATTCTCTCGTATTCAGCTGGGTGCCTTTCCATTCTTCCAAAATGGCCACGCAGTTTTGAATGGTGTTTATTTATTTATTTATTTAATTTTTTGGTTTTGTGATTTTTTTAATTTAGACTTGAGACTTGGTTATGCAAGTGACAACTTGGCATTGATCTTAGGAGATTCCTAAATTGTTCACGTGGCCCTGCATATCCATTTCTGCCCTACATTTGCTGCCCCGTCTCAGTCCTCACACCTGTCTTGTGTGGTCTTCCATTTGAATTAGACTCAAGCCCTCCCTGGCCTCAATGTCCTCCCTCAGATGGGCTGTGTGCTAAGAGGCTGTTTATCCCACGCTTTGACTAATTATCTGGCTAATTCCTATTAACAATTAATTCATCTTAGAATTAAAGTGGTGATCACTTCTGTTTACATTTTGTTTATACTCGTTTTTTAAAATCCATCACTGTGTCTAAATTTTTAATGCCAATTATTATGTTAATTGCTTATTTAATATTTATGGCATTTACTAAAATGTAATCTCTGGGGGCCACAGAATAGAGTAATGGCAATAAGCTAAGTTTTAGAGTGCGGGAGGAGCCAAAATGAAGGAGTGTGTATTGGTGTGAATGTGTGTGTGTGTGTGCAAGATGCAAAGGTATATTTTATCTTAGAGGCAATGGCGAGCTACTAGCAATTTTTAAGTAAAGTGATGAATTGATCAGGTTTGTATTCAACAAGGTCTTTCTGATTTCTCAGTGGAACATGATTAGAAAAGTATACATTCAGATGCCAGGAAACTAGGAATGACATTATTAAAATGATTCAGATGAAAATACTGAAGGGATAAATTAGAAGAAGAACTGTACTTAATAAGTTAGAATACAACATCAATAAGTGGTTAGGTTCTCCAGGAAACTCCAAGGTAGAAATTATGAACTGCTTCTTATGGCGTCCACATCTGAGAAAAAGAAGAAAAGGAATGGAATTGAACATGGATAGAAGTTAAGTTGTGCAGATTCTGTGAAGGCCTCAGCGGACTCCAAAGTGCTTTCTGGAGCTGGAATTACCCCTGGGACTTAACTCCCAGTTGGGTTCTCAGGTTAAAACTTTGTATCGTTATATCGATGACTTAAAGGGCACAGACTGCCTCCATGGATGGAAATGACTTGAGTAAACGTCTCTTTTCAAACAACGCCTGAAAGAGGCTGATGGCGGAAGACTGGAGCATGACGGGAAGTAGAGGCAGTGGCTTCCATGAGACTCCCTAGCCTGTGAGGTGAGAAGAACATGGCGGTATACACAGGGCCCTGGAGAAATGAGCAAGTGAAACAAACATGGCTAAGATACCAATGAAAGGAAGAGTCTAAGAATGAGCAGACGCAGGAGTAGTAAGCCCGTTGATATAACAAAAGCAACTGAGACAAATGTGGGCAAACAAAAAACCTTTCCTGGGTGTTTGATTGAGACAAAAATATGCTGCACAAATTCCATAAATCCAATCTTCAAAGCAGCCCTATGAGACTGGCATTATTATTACTCTGATTGTGCAGAGAAGACAATTTTGAGATATTGAAAAATACACTCAAAATCGATAGCTAAGCCATCAGGGCAAGACCAAATCTCTCCTCAAAGCACATGATTTTTCCTGCCTTAAAAGAAGATACTGACTCGTCACCTTTACAGGAAGGAACAGTAAGCAAAAGTATTGTAGTATGCTTTGGAGATAAAAGTTAGAATTTCCAAGAAAGATAAAACCCTCCAAGGCAGGTTTCAGGGAAGCATGGTGACAGAAGGCATTCTTTTAATGTGTGGAGTACATTCTTTTAATGTGTGGACCAAAAGATATACAAAGATACAGTATATTGTTAGGAAATATAGGCATGAAATTTTAAAATAGAGGGTAACAATTCAGTATATTCATTTTCTAAAGGACAACTCAGGTAGAGGGAGAGAGCAGAGGAGCCATGAAAGGAAAAAATGGTCAATGGAACAAGGACCTCAAGAAAAAGTAGAAGGGGATCAGAATGAATAAAAGTTGAAGTGGAAAGCTACTTCTCCTCCTACTTGTAGAAGAACAAGAGTAAAGACGTCATAGACAACTGACTTGGGCTGTAAGAGGCAAAGTAAAAGCTCCTACATTATTTATGTTCCTCAGATTATCCTTATATTCAGCATGTACCTCTGTATTCTAAGTAAACATATGCTCTTAATTATGTTTACTTATAGTGCAGACCAGATGCTCTATCTAGAAGAAAATCAATCAAATGGAAAGGAGTTCCAAACTGGAGACTTCCAAAACAAAGCAAAGATAGGACTGAAAATAAGGTGGAATGAGGAAAAACTACCTACAATGAAGAAGAGGAGCTAGAAGTCATAAGTCAGAGTAACAGTGGCAAATCCTGACAGGTGGGAAGTGATTCAGCCTGTGGCTCAGCCGCTCACAACAAAGGACCCAGAAAACCCCCATCCTGGGCTGGTGCTGGGAAACTATCAGCTATGCAGACGTCACATATTTCCCCCATGATTCACATTCCTTAGAGAGGAAGTCCTTAGATGACCTTGAAAGCTCAAGGGCTGTCATATTTCTTAATTCAGCTAACAGACCTTTTAAATTTGAATGATATTGGACCACCTGTCAATTCTTTGGCTTGGGGTTGAATGAAACAGAGAATTTTTTGCCAACTACAATATCTTCCAGATAAAGAACTCTTGAGTATGCTGCCTTCTGAATAGTTTTCATCCTTAAAATGAGTTCTTTTAGAATATAGAAGAAAAAGGAAAAGGTCTGGGCTTTCCATATTCAGGCCCCAGTTCATAGTCAATGTCAGGAAAGGGGTAGTCAAGTACATCAACTGCACTCTTGAATATTGAAGTGACCTCAATTAATTTTTTTCCTGCTTTGAAAATTATCCAAAAAACTATTGAAGAGTAGTGTTGAATTTCATATGTTGTTATGAAAATCTTTAAAAGAAAGCATCTGTCACTTCTTTTTTGAATGAGACTCAAGACAGGGGCAAAACAAGTGCGGTAGAAGCCAGATTTGTCAGTGGGTCGCTGGCCATTTCCCACGCCATTCGTCTTAGCCAGTACACTCTAGTCTTCACACCCTATCTCTGGCAAGTAAAATAAAAATGTGGTGTCCTTGCAGATACCTTCCAACTCTAAAGGTTTTCTACTATCTGAATTGTAAGTAATTTCACAGTGAAATTCAAAAGACCTTTTTATGTTGTTCTACAAAATGAAATATACTTTTTTATTTGGTACTGGAAATCAAATTCAGGACCTCATATTTGCCAGGCAGGTGCTACACCACTGAACTAAATCCCCAGCCAAAGTGAAATACAGTTTGGGTTTCCATAAATGTGACATATTCCAAGTTGTCACTGAAGAAACATCTAATGAAAGTTTACATGCTAACTATATTTCAAAAGAGGGAGAGATGGTACTTAACCACTCATAGAATAATTATAAGTAAATCCAAATCAATTATGAGGAGTGCTTTACTATGCTCTTACTTAACAGAGCTGAAGAAGAAACTGTGAAATTTCAATTTCTGCTTAAGACTCTTCCTAAGTATCAATAGTTTTTGTAGGAGTTTTGAACTTAATGCCTAAATATTTGTCTCTACCTTGAAGTCGTTATGAAAGCAAGAGTTGATTATTTGTATTAAGAAAAAGTGGTTCATATTAGAAGAAAATAATAGTCTCAAGTTCAAAGTGTTTTTTCAACTGCTGCCTAAGGGGCTAAAGGCTTTGTTGTATGATTTTTAGTTGTGGCTTACCACATATATTTACATTACCATATCAGAGTGATTTTTAGAAGGAAGTTTTCAGCTTTACAATTAGCAATCCACAATGGAAGCTTTGACACTTAATTACACCATTGCTAAGACAATAATAATATGAGAAATTCTAAAGCTGAATGCAGTATACCTTGACACGCCTCTGGCTGCTTTCTTATTGGCTGGGCAACAATTATATATGACAAGTGAGTAATCCACACAGAAATGAAGATGTGTGTACCGCGTTGGCATGCAGTTACAGCAGGTGCTTCTAGTCAGGCCAAGTTCAATCTCTGCTTTTGATTTGGACTAAAACATGACGGCCAGCAGCTGTGGAGAATATCATCAGAGACTGCTCTAGACTCCAAGAACCTCGTACATTCTGCATTTTAGCATCTTCTACCATTCTAGGTTGGATTACAGTTCAAAGGAGAGAAGATGGCATTTTATCCACTGCAAATTGCTGGACTCGCTCTTGGGTTCCTTGGCATGGTAGGGACCCTGGCCACAACTCTTCTGCCTCAGTGGAGAGTATCAGCTTTTATAGGCAGCAACATCATTATCTTCGAGAGGCTCTGGGAAGGGCTCTGGATGAACTGTGTCCGACAAGCCAGGGTCAGGCTGCAGTGCAAGTTCTATACTTCCATGCTGGCCCTCCCGCCCGCCGTGGAAACAGCACGAGCCCTCATGTGCGTGGCCATTGCTCTTTCCTTCATTGCTCTAATTATCGGCATCTGTGGCATGAAGCAGGTCCAGTGCACAGGTTCCGACGAGAGAATCAAAGCATATCTTCTGGGAACTTCGGGAGTTCTCTTTATCCTAACAGGCATCTTTGTTCTGATTCCAGTGTGCTGGACAGCCAATATCATCATCAGGGAGTTCTACAACCCAAACGTCCCCATCGGTCAGAAACGAGAGCTGGGCGCAGCCCTTTTCCTGGGCTGGGCGAGCACTGCGGTCCTCTTCATCGGAGGGGGTCTGCTCTGCGGTTTCTGTTGCTGCAACAGGAAGAAGCGGTGGCACAGATACCCAGCCCCTACATACTGTGTGCCACAGAAGGAGAAGCGAAAGAACGCGACAGTGCTCAAAAAGACCTCCACCAGTTACGTCTAGTGCTCGCTTTCAGCACCAACTACGGATTACGGTCAATGCATTTATTTAAGTCCTGAAATTGTAAGTACTTCAGGCAGGAGAGCTTTGCTTCGTAGCTACATTTAAAATGAAATGAGAATTGTAATTTGTCACCTGAGGTGGAAATGTAAAATAACCTACTTGTCTGTTTTAATCTCTTGTGTATAAATGCATCTCTTATTTATTGGACTCAACCTCCATTTCAATTTATGTGGTCTAAAATCAAGTGTATTCTTAATCATTAAAAAGTACATAATGCTGGACTATCCCTTTTTGACTATCATATCTTTTTCTGGTAAGACACATAAAATTGCAATTGACAATCTATAAAAGTAAAACATAACCTATTATTTCTCCTCCAAATTGTTTCTTATACATTTTAAAACAGCTAAGTGGTGATGACCTTGAAGTAATCATCTTGGAAAACTTCATCCATCGATGTTTTTTTTGTTGAATTTATCCAAATGGGGAAATTCCTGGTCAATGAAAAGGTGTTTATTTTTAATTTTTTATATTTTGTACACTACACACTAAAACACATTTTTTAAGATAAAGCTCTGGCCTCTCTAAGATCATGCGTAAAAATGGCTTCTAAGTTCCCAATATAACAGTGTAACTTCCTTAGACTTACATATTCAAAAGGAAATAATTTATAAATGCAAAAGAATATGCTCTCATAGCTTATGATTTCTATTTCTGAGCAAACAAAAGTATCTATCTTGATAGGGCACATCAGTACAAAGGTACTCACAAATTCTAGTCAAAAAAGATACACATCATGCTCAGAGAATTTAGATTTGGATGTTGAAAGCAATAGTTTCTGTTCCTTGTTTTATTCTTTAGTCACTGTACAGGTCTAAGCATGCTATTCAAAAAGAAGGATCAAGGTGATCCTTCAGGCAATTAGGTCTTCTTAAATAAATATCTCCTTTTCAGTGTGTAATAAGCAAATGGTTATGGTGAAGGCATTTTATGTTGCTTTAATTATATACATTCTTTTTTTAATTGTTCACTTCCCAAGTGTATATACCAATGTGCAGGTTCAAAGTGATGTGGGGACAGCTGGGTGGGAATGGGTGGGGAATATTTGTGAGGCAGGATTTCTCCTATGGTCTGCTTGTGCAGAACCCCAATATTTTGTGAATCAATGCTTATACATTCCATTTCATCCTTCACATACTGTTTTTATCTTATGATATATGTAATGTATAATATATAAAAGCAAAAAACTGAATTTATTCATGAAATATTTATTGCATGTTCATCCTTATAGGAAAATAATAAAATTATATATTATAATTATTGTTGACACATCAATTTAGAATAAATTTTTGTCCTCAAAAGTTCTCTTGTTAACTGACTTTAAATTAACAATAATTCAAGGTGATATCATGATCTCAAAACTTTATTCCATTCTACAAACCACCAATAATGCCTCAGATATTCAAAATCTTTAGTAATATAACATTGTACTGAAACCATTAGTGATATTTAAATAAGGGTCACATAACTGTAAGTATGTTCACATAATTTCAATAAAAATTTAAAAAAGTGATTTAGATGGGGTTTTTCTAATATTTATTTTCTAAGTTAACTTTGGTTGTATTGAAAAGAACTAATTTGTCTTCTGCAATCAAATAAGTAAGACAGGAAAAAAAGCAAAATATATACCTAAAGTTTGTCATGGATCATTTGTTTTCCCTTTTCTGTCACCCAGACATAATTTGTCTTACAAGGATGGGATTCTTATATTAAATGAAGTATGTGATTCTGCTGGTCAGAGGATCAGAGAGGAAAGGTTTAACAGTGGGTGGAACAATGCAATAACATTAGCTTCTAATTGTGTGTCAAAAACTCGAGAATTAACAATTTTGATGCTTGCTTTTTCATTAATCAAAGTGTACTTTTGAAAAGTTATTTCTACATCCCCTATTTGACTGCAATATTTTCTCTACTGCACCAATAAGAAAGTTCAGGAATTTTCCATGAATTTGAAGATATATGAGGAATGTAAATCTCATACCACACATGTAGGCATGCAAAAAATATATATCCTAATTTTCTAAAATTTAACCAAACTTCAACTTGTGGATACTTTCTCACATATTTCCCAGTTCTTGGCATCTTATGCCAGTCATGCTTAGCAGTAGTTGAGGTGACGAGTTCAGGAGATCAATCCCAGGACAGTATCAGTGAAATTATCTATTATACAGTCTCCTTGCTCTTTTTATGCTTCTCGGGTCTGTCATTTCTGTGCCATACTTGGTCATCTTCTGAAAGACTTATTCTTGAATCCTTTGTGATCACTGGATTACAAACTTAGCTGCATATTAGAATTGTGTTGGGGAACTTTGAAAACTACCATTGCATCCAATGTTAAGATGATCTCTGCCACTAATTCCAATAGTTTTGATAAAAAACTTGACCTGCTGACTTGGTTAACAGCTGCCCACTAGCACTGATACAGAGGACAAATGACTGCTTCCCCCAAAATCTTGTTTTTCAACATTACCTGCACAACCTCCCTCCTTCTACTCCACTTTATAAAACTTGAACAATTTCATACAGGCTTTCAAAAACAAAATACACCAAAAGTGAAATTCTCCTACCCTATCTTGATTTTGCTATAAACCCAGTGAAGTGCATAGCTAACTATATTGTAGAGTGAGGATCTCAGGAAGGAAGCAAATATGAGGAAGGAAAAACAAATTATTATGGCATAATGTTATCCAACACACACATGGCCAAAGATGTTCCAAAATTTGATTCTTGGGCCAGGGATATAGCTCAGCGGTGCAAATGCCTGCCTAGCAAGTACAAGGTCCTGAGTTCAGTTCCCAGTAAAAAAAGAAAGAAAGAAAGAAAGAAAGAAAGAAAGAAAGAAAGAAAGAAAGAAAGAAAAAATATGATTCTTTTGTAGATTACTAAAACTCAAGCCAATAATTCTTTTCCTTTACAAAAAGTCTTGACATAATCTAAACCATTGTTTAGGGCTATCTTTCTGGTAAGACTCACAATGTGGAGAGGGTAGATTTCAGTACTAACATAATTTTACTAAAGAAATTAAAATTTACAAAGTTACATGACTTGGCACATAGCTTACACAGAGAAACAAGGAATCTAAAAGTAATAATGAATTGTGATTTAATACATATTTAAGGAATGATCAAGAACCAATCTGCAGAGAGGATAGTAGTTTGAGATTTTAACTAATATGGCTTCCTTCCTTCCCCAGGATAGAGATAAAACAATGGAATTCAGAAATGTAAAGACAGCTGTTGGTTTTTGAGTGTGAAAAACATGAACTGAGAGGAGACTTGACAAAGAATAGTATGGCTCAGTCATGTGGGAGCCAAGATTTTCTCACACTTAAGATTATCAAATGATTTAATTCTGTGAGGATAAAGCAGAAAGAAGCTCAGTGAAGAGTGTGTACATAACAGTGGATCACTGGAGAAGAGGCAGGTGCTCTCTTCCTAGCCTGGCTCCTAGACACTGAGCCACACAGAAATGATAAACTCTCGGATGGGTTTGAGAGTCTAACGACAGATATGAACTCTAGCTTGACTCAGATAGTGGAGTATTTAGACAGATTTTCCCATGCCTTCCCTGCATTGAGAGATGAGACAAGTCTGTGATGTATGTAGCCTAAAAGGCCAACAATAGCCTTACCAAGTTGCCTACAGCTAGACACTATGGGGACAAAGAACACATGTCCAGCCCCCTGAGAGTGTCCTTCTCAGAGGCCTAGACTTCAGGACCAGGAGAGTCCATAATAATACAAGCATATAGGTAAATGGCCCATCCATGACCTGTTTGACCTCAGATTCATTCTTCACTCTTAATCTGCACTAATCTGTGTCGCCTGGAGGCTGGTGCTCAGGGGTTGTGTAGTGGTGTGCTAGCGGTGGGTAATGAGAGGGTCCCACCAGGTCTGAGCAAAAAGAAGAGAAAAGCTTCCAGTTCCAAAGAATTTAAAAGCAACAGTATAACTAGACTATTTGAATATTGGGTCTCCTCATTACTAGTTTCACTCACTGATCTTTCTAATTAATTACAGTGATAAAGTATCTCTTACAAAGCAAAGTAAATGCTGATCTAAGCTCTGAACAGTTGTTACTTTTGTCACACAGATAGATGACAGATTGTGTACTGGCTGAAATGCATCTCCATCAATAGTTGAAGGGCTGGTGTCATAACTCCAGGTTAAGATGTGGCTTTATTTAGAGATAGTTTTCTATGGAAGTCATTAAATTAAAATGATGTCACTAGACTGGGACCTAATCAAATATGTGACTGGGGTCCTTATAAAAAAGAAATTGGGACACAGGTAGGGAAAACAATGTGAAGATATAGGAAGGAGATGGCCACCTAGAAGCCCTGAAAGGGACCTGGAATAAATCCTTCCCTCACAGCTGTCAAAAGTAACCAACTCTATTCACTACTTGACTATTAGATTCCAGAACTGAGAGGAAATAAATTTGCTTTTTTAAAATTTTCCTGTCTTTGATATTGCAGCCCTAGAAAACTTAGGTAGAAAGGTAAGCAGTTAGGTAGGTACAGGTTAGATAGATAGATTATTGGTAGACAGATGAGAGATGGATGACACCTAGAAAGATGATGAATTGAGAGATAGATGCTAGAGAGATAACAATGCCAATGACTGATATATATAGAGTAGAGGTGATTGGTAAGGTAGATGACCAGTTAAGTAGGTAAAAATATAGTAGGTATACATAGTAGACAGGTGATGGATATATAGATGCTATTTATGCTGCAGTATCTCTAACATTTGTAGGTTTAACTGCTTGTATTTGCTACAATGTAAATGGGCTTTTCTCCCAGATTCAGATTCAACAAGACATGTTTTTCGAAGTCATTTTTCAACCACTCCTTCTTATTGTTTTAATTTTTTAAGCACGACTAAAACTGCCAATTCCAATAAAATGGCAGAATTGAAATAACCTGTGTTCTCTTTCAAAGTCTTGACAGTTTCTGCGTTTGAGGAATTAGCGGCGCAATCTACCTACTAGCTAGTTTGAACGATTCTAACCAGTTGTGAACTTGTAGAGTTCCTTCAGGTTAAAGTCTATAGAGGAAAAATGTTGACTAAAGACTAAATAATAAAAATATGCTAAAGAACTTATTACTGAAAATAGTTTTCTTTGAAAAGAGAGATACATTAAAAAGTGTTGTGTTTTAGGGGTCAAATTCTCTCCATAGACCACTAAGTCTGCCATCTCCTCCAGCTCCTGTGGTCAGCTGATGTCTGCTGGCCTGCCCAACCAGTAGGTGGGAGGCACTGGGGAAGACTGGCCAGTGTCCCTTAGCTTTGTGTCTCCGCCTTGGA